ACCATTAGTCAGCTGTTTTGGGCGGATAAATGCAGTCATGGATACGATTTTCCTTTTATGTTTTTCCTCGCCGTTATTTTGAGCACTTGGAGTGCAGTGCGAATGCACTTATCATCTCTGTTTTCCTAACGGTTCCACAAATAGAGCGGCGGGCTTGAAAAGTGGGAGTGGTAGAATGCAAACACCCTCAACATTCAATTAAAACTAGATTTTTGATCGATATACGGAGTGTTGGAGGTGCGACCACGGCAGAACTTTAATTACTTAATTTCGAAAATCAATTTGAGGTGCGGTATTATACGAAAACTTAATGACTCCATTTGGTTCGGAGGAAATGAGTTGATTTTGTTTGGATATTAAGACATACAACTGGGTTTGATCCAAAAGAATTGACTTTACTATAATTCTGACATTTGTTTAAGATCTTAGCAGTTGTTTAATTATTTAGTTTTTTTATTCATCATACTCTATTTTTTCTTCATCTATTAAATTACTTAGTTTCATAACTGTATATGTATGAATCCTATCCACTGTTTTTATTTATTATACCTTCTTTAGACAGTTACCTTTATTATACTAGCTATCTAAAATATTTTATTCAAGGAGAGATTCCCTCACTTACCAACAACAAAAAATACCAACTCAAACCCCAAACCTGGAAGTGCTAATGATGCAACGAATCTTTTTCGCTCCACCTTTGCGATCTACGGCTGTGATAAACTTATCAAAATTCATTTGTCTCACGTGTTTCTCTAATTAATTGTCAGTCCCGACTTTATTTCCTACCATGCTTCTGCGGCAGAGATTATTTATAATGTCTAAGGGGTCCCACATTTATAAGGCTGAACCCTTTCGCGCTCCATTTCGCAGCGGATTAAGTAAGGTTGCCTGTACGGTGATAACTGGGTCAATTGGAAAGTCGGTTTTATTATCAGCGTGGCTCTTGTTTTTTGGTTTTGCTCCTATCCGCGATGGGGAAGTGCGTGCCGCGAAGTTAAGTCAAGTGTAGTGGAGTGTTTGGGAGTGTTGGACTGGCTGACCGAACTTAACTGAACTTGTGGGCAGACAGGTACGAGATAAATGCGTTTCGGGAGGGAGGAGGAAACCCGAGTCGGGTTGATGAATGGATTTGGTTTACTTGGGAACAGGTTGCAGGTCGCCATCGGCAGAGCAGGCTGAAGAAGGAAAGCCGATTTCGTTCTGGGTGTGCACAGAGTGCCATAAAATTGAATTATACCCCAGTACTTGAAACGCGAAAGTTCTCTGGAAACGAAACTTGCCGGTATTTTGAAAAATAAAAGTGCAGTTTTAACAAAGTTAAATGATGTGACTTTCACAAGTTTAAAAACATATCTCAACTTACCTAAAATATTTTACTGACCATATTGTAACTTGAGAAAAATATTTTCCACCAAGGTGTCTTTCCTGATTGATCTTTCGATAAGAAGCTCTAGCAAAAAATATTTTCTATAACGATTCGCTTGGCTCAAAGCCAAACCCATTAAAATCATAGTACTGCGTATTATGCAGCTTGACTTTGGTAATGAAATATTCAAATGACAAACAACCGAGTTGGGCAAGACCTCACAACATAGGAAAATATTTCAATTTTTAATGCTAATTGCGTGCCAAGAGCATTGGACAGCCAAAGCGGAACGACCCTGAGTGGAGCCCATGGATGTCATATTGAATATCGAATATTGATCGACTTAGGAGAAGTATTTGTACAACATATGTAAAATTATAAAAAACACTACAGAGATTTTACTTCTTATAACTATCATAGAATACGATCTAAAACGAAATTTAAAACGAAAGCAGATCTTATAGGTATGAGATATTTGTATAGCAATACAGATTGAGCTATGAATGCCACTCAACGCTTCACTGACAGTCAAGCAAGGGGCAATATTGGAGTGCAACATTTAATTGCGTGCCGAGAAGAGGAGGAAAACTGGGGGAAATGTGGGAGGCATGAGGAGGAAAAGCGGGGGCGTGCGTGCCAGTGCTCAATGAGAAGGCACACAAATACAGAGACAGACCCCTCACGGAGTGCCCAAACATAAATAATAATTTAACAGAGTTGTGACAGTTGGCAAACGGAAAGTGCAGTGGCCATTGACAAAGTGGGGGATACAGGGGCTTTTACGAAAGAAAAAAGTCTATGAGTGGAGGAGCGCCACAAGTGACCATTAAAAGCAATTGAAGCGCCACAAAAAAAAATAGAAATACAAAAAAACGAGAGAGGGAAGCCACCGCTTGATGTCTCCATTAAAGTGGCAACCTCTGCGTGGGTTTCCCCCCATCAAAAACGAATTTTCCAAAAACGGACAGTGCAAAACCCTGCAGCTTAAGGTTAAAGGCTCACTCAATTTGCCCACCTCCACCTCTCCGATTTGCATCCTTGGCTTTTTCCCATAGCTTTGCCGACAAAAAGGAAATTAATTTATATGAAAAACAATTTTCTAAGCTGGCCAACTTTTTGTTTTTGAGGCCATGGGAAGCAGGAAAAGCGGCAATGCGTGGAGGTTTTTCTATTTGCTATTTTCCTTTTTTTGTTATTTTTCCCAATGCACATTGTTTGCAAAAATTGTTTTTGCTTCCACAACTCGTGTTTTGTTTTTATAATGAAATTGTTTGGCTGCTTCTTAAACTTGAGTTTCCTTTGGGATGTTGATATTGTTTTCGCTATTATTGCAAACTGGTTTGCGCCTAATTGAGACATAACTGTTGTTTTTAATGCATTTAACATTTTCCTTGGGAATTATGTCAGTTGGCTAAGCAGCAAAAGGGGCGGAAAAAACGAGGGAGTGGTCTGAATTGGTTTGCAGTTTCTTCCTCATGTTGTTTGGATGTTACCAACAACACAGCACGCATTAAGCGCCCGGGAAAAGGGGGAGTTGGAAAAGTGGGCGGGGAGCGGTCGGTAAGGGTGTGGTTGTTGGGTATAGCAGTTATGGGAACGAGGGAACATTGCACAAAAATGCATTAATTTTCAGGCGTATTGTTTGTTAATATGAGAAATCATTTGATTCGTTTTAAACAGGGCCGGCAACTCATATAGTTAGAAATAAAATGCGAACTTGTCGAAAAATTTCAATTACAAGTATAATACAACTTTATAAATAATAAATTACATATTTTCTATAGCTAATTTACTAATTTTCATAAATTTTTATAACGATTTTTATATCCAATTAGTCATCGTCTTTTGAAACCCCTTCAAACCAGTTTCTTTGAAGTTCTTTGATAAATTTCCCATTAATCTTTTGAGCAATTCCTATAAATAAACGCACCAGTTTCTTATCCGAAAACATGCATAATGTTTCAAGAACTGTACTCCCAACTTCAACACGACATATATGCGGGCTTCGATAATCTTGTTTATTTCTCCCTCTTTTTCCCTCCCATGCTTTAATTACGCGGATTGTGAGCTGTCAACATATCACAAATGTTTCTTTTTATTTGTTCAATTTTCAAATTGCTTGGTTTATTTTCTTTCTTTTTCGGTTTTCGAATTGAACACGACTGACTCAAAGTTCTGACATCATGCACGGTCCACAAATGGGTTCCCAGGGTTCCAATTAAACTCAGGGAGTGCCCTCAATCCCGCTTCTCAATCCCAAAACAAACTCCACTCGAAAAATCATATTAAATTGTATTAGCAAATTTATTGCATTTAACCCAAAGACATGACAGCGTGTTTCGGGGAGAAGGGGGGTCAAACCACGCACAGGAAAACAAGCTGGCGAAAACACACCTACAAAAGGGGGCTAGGGGGATTTTTCGGGGGACTTGAAAAGCTGGCAGAAATGTCAAATTGGCAGACAAAACTGTTACAAAATTTGAATGGCAGGAGAGGAAGGCAGGGGGCGGGCAAATGATTGAATGAACGACTGACTGAATGAATGCATGATTGAGTGAGTGAGTGTCTGCCTATCCTCCTCTCTTTCAATAAACCTCCTCCAATGCAAATGCTTTCAAGTCGTTTGCCAATGCAATTGGCAAACAAGGAAGCAAAACGAGCTGCTGTCAATTCAAAATGATCCGCACAGACAGCTAAAATAAAAAATTACAGAGGGGGTGCGAGGAGGAGGCTGATCTGCGCACAAGAAGCAGAATCCTCCGCCGCCTAAGCGACGCCACAAAATGTATATAAAGAAAAAGACTAGATATAGCACCGAAGAAATGAATGTCCTTCTAAACTGGATTGGATAACAAACGATCACTAGATTAAGAGTCTATTTTAATTTAAAATCAAATTATTTTAGATCAAATACTACCTATTTATTGCTTCAATAGTATCAAGTTTTGGCAAGTATTCTAGTATTAAGAACCGAATTTATTTCATTTAAATATAATCTTATAACCGTAAAAAATCAATACAACCCTTGAAAAGGGTATCCAAGCAAGAAATTAATGAAAATGCAAATGGGAAGCGACAGTCGAGGAAAAGCGGGAAAACTGTTCGATTCGCAAACGGCGTTGAATTTGTTCAGGTGGCCCACCTCGGACTGTCTGGTTTGGTATGGTGTCGTGGCTCTATCTCCATCTCCAGTTCCTAGCTCAGTGGGTCAACGAACTATCCACGGACCACACCTCATTCAAGCGCGGCTGGAATATGACCCACCGACTTTGATAAACGATTCGAGGCGATTTCATAACTGACCCTGACACGCCCCGTAGAAAGAGAGCGAAACAACCTTAATGATCTCTAAATAATTTGATTCAGGGGATTACAGGAGGGATTTTCTGTTTGATAAATTGTCGAGATCAGCTCGTCCAAATGGGGATCAGTTGAGGAATTTTAGAAGTATGTTGCAACAATCACAACGAACATAACGATCAGTAAAGATATAAAAAGATTGTTAACGATCTAACATTTTAAATGACTTCGGATCTTAAAAGCTAAGACTGATGTTATCTATATACTCAAAGAAACCAATGAATTTCCTGTCATTTAAAAACGTATTCTGTGCTGGGGAGTTATAGCATTCAGTTCAGTTACAAACAAACGATCGAACGGTTAAGTCGAAATTTTGATACTTTCTTTATTTTTGAAAAAGATAATCAACGGAAAAACTAAAATCTGGTAAAAAAAAAAAAAAAAAAAAATATTAATAATAAATCCAAAACATGGCGGACGATGACGATGCGCAGTTCGATACCGTGGATTCTGGAGCCTCGAAGACTTTTCCGATGCAGTGTTCGGCCTTACGTAAGAATGGTTTTGTCATGCTGAAGGGACGTCCCTGCAAGATTGTGGACATGTCCACCTCGAAGACGGGCAAACATGGGCATGCGAAGGTGCATTTGGTGGGGGTGGATATTTTTACCCAGAAGAAGTACGAGGACATCTGTCCCTCGACCCACAACATGGATGTGCCGCACGTGAAGCGCGAGGATTACCAGCTGACCGATATCAGTGATGATGGCTTCGTCACCCTGATGGGGGACAATGGCGAGATACGCGAGGATCTCAAGGTTCCGGACGGGGAGCTGGGTGGAGCTTTGCGCTCTGATTTTGACGATGGCAAGGATCTCCTCCTGACTGTGCTGGCGGCCTGTGGGGAGGAGTGCGTCATTGCAATGAAGAACAACTCGGGACTGGACAAGGGAGGGGTTTGAAGCAGCAGGACCTTAATATCGATGATGATGGATACATTTTTAATAAAACTCTGGTTGCGAAATTTTGTTGAATTCATTGGGATAATTTTTGATAGGATACAAAATATACTTGACATAAAAAATTATAAGATCATTTTTTTTTCTTCAATAGGTTTTAATTGGTGGATTTAATTGATATTTGACGGATGTTCAGGCCAGCAATTAATTTTAACACATGGATGGCCAAGGCAATGTGATTAATCTTCGTGGATATAAATCAACTGTCATTTGATATATCCTATACCTATTCTGCGGGTTATGGGACTTGAACTGCCGCATTTATTATCATTAAGTGTTTTTTGTGACTGACAATTATATATGATCAATACAAACTAAAATATTTAGTTTTAGTTTTAGTTATGGTTTTAGACACAAGGGGGCACCTTTGGAGCAGCAGGCCATGTTGGTCCTCTCATCCAGCCCCCTAATCGAAAATGCCACACTTATGGAGAAATCTTTGGCGAGTTCTGGACTCCCTTACAGATCCACCTAAAAGATCGGAGGACAACATTGTACTGGGCGTTCCCCCAAGCCAACTGAGTTTCCTGACCCATCTGAGTCTGCAAAGTGAGAGGATGTTGCCACGACGTGCCCGATACCTTGTGCCATCTATAAGTCGCCATGTGGTATTCTCGCCCAGCACTTTGGAGCACCAGAAAAATCGCCAAGTTGTTAGGCAGGCGGAAACATCGGCCTTCCAGAATTTCGTGCGTGAGATGTACGAAGGATATTACCAACTTTTACTATCGCAGGAGACAAGAAGACACGGCTTGCAGCCAGAACTACAGCTTAGCAATCGTAGGCTCACATTCAAGGATCTTGTACGTCTTCAGAGGGTGGCCAGAGATATGTGGAAAATAATGGGCAAAGAACGAAAACAACCGTACAAGAATCTGGCCATGATGGCCCTCCATCGTCGGTGTTTACGCCTGCCGCCCGATCCTTATCAAATACCACCGCATCTTAAGGGATCATCCAAGCTACAGAAAACTAGATCCGTTTTTATTTGAACCACATAGATATCCTTTTTTTTGTAATCTAAATAAATTGCGGTTACCTATTTCAGATGTTTAAATAACTGTTTCAAGTGGGACAAACCAATTTCCCTGTATACACTTTTACTAAACTTGGTTTAATTTGATATGCATCCTCATCTCTCGAAGCAAGTTAAGTAATACTTCCTACACTCCATAGATGGATCAAGACTGACCGCATCTACATGTGATTAGCATACGGATTACTTTATCCATATCCGGCCTACGTGTGCATAATTAGCCTCTCTTTAATCCGCCTGCGCTTCCATCAACGAAACTTAGGAAATGCAAAGGGAAAACTTTTCTTTGGCTGAGGAAATCGACGGGAGTCGTTTAGGAAATAGATAATTCAACGATTTGTAAGGGGAAGTTCCAAGTGATTTTCTTACGTCATTGCCATCCATCAAACGGTGTCCATCTTCAACTTACCTGAAAATAAAAATATAAGCATTAGTAAAATTGTTAAGAGGTTAACAGCAGTTTTACTTATAGCAATATAATAAGTCTTCAAATAGTTGAAATGATTGTACTTAATCTTGGGGCCATAAATATACTCTGCCTATCTCATCTCAATTAGACCCACACGTCCTATAAATAAGCCTGAATTCCGCTGGGAATTCGCCGTCTCAACTCCCTTCCCGCAATCCCCACACAAAATATCCACACCTAAAAACGAGGCCAAAAGCGAAACCACTGCAACTTGAGGCAGCTTCCAGCTTTTGAAGAATTTAATTGCATTTTCTGGGCGAGATCAAGGGGCGGATTGTATTTTGGTTGGCCCGAGGCGTGGCATTAAACACATTTGTTCACACATTTGGCTCGATGAGAAGGCGCCACAGCTTCGTGTGACATTTTAAATGGAGAATTTGTTATTTCCACCCCACACACATACCAATTTTTAAAATAGGTCATCGATGTGTTACCAACAAAAAATAACCAAAAGTTCTTCACATAAATTACTTCCTTCTCAGGCGTTTTTTTTCGTTTTCCCTTCTGTTTTGGTAACCCAAAATCCCCAATCGAGGACCCCGCCCTGTTGTCCTACTTATGCAATCGATGCTTTCCCAAAAGCTAAAAAACAAGTGTTGGGCCCGAGGCTAAGGGCCTGACCGATGATTTCGATGAACGATCGATGGATCGATTGGCTTCCCCCTCTTTTTTCGGTAAAACCTATATATTTGCATGCGCCCGGAGACAAAAAACAAAACGAACATTTGTTTTTACGATAATACTGCTCCCGCCCCCTGAGCTCTTGCAACATTTCCACATTTTATGAGCGGGCCAAGCAATTAGTGCTTGCCATTTATGGCTCACACACTCTCAACAGGGAAAAGCTAAAAAACCTCTAGGAAAACCGTTACGCAATCTGAGAGATAAAGCTTAGAATTTATGCCTTGGCTGCTAATCATCGGTTGCCGCGCGATGACTACGGACTTTTTAGTCACTACCAACCTAACTAACTATATGGGATGGATCATGTGCTAAGTGATCGTCATTATCCCGGCTGAACCATCTGGATTCTGTGACAAGTGCAGGTAATTGAGTATCGTATAGCCTCCAGGGAGGAAGCACAGAGCACTCCGCGTTGATGGCTTTGACTTTAGCTTTGGCTCTGGGAAAGAGGAAAAGTCCAGGAACGAGTTAAAGATGAGGCGATAACTTTGCAGCAGGTTTATGTTCTTGCGCGTCGAGAAATTACGGTGGGGACCGACGGCGAATGTGAAAGTAAACTTGGGTTGGTTCTGAGTGGGCTTGCTGGATGGCTAGGAATTCCAAAGGTATTTCAAATGGGGGAAAAGTAGTGCAATAAAATATTTGATGGTTTTTTGTTAAGTGCTGATGTAGGATTTATTGAAATAGTTATTATTTTGCACTAATTCTTAACTCGAGATTTTTCTCAGTAAAATAAAGCATTATAAAATCTGTTTTAGCAATGGAACTCGTTTATATGTATTATTAGTGTTTATCAATAAGACTTAATATACCACTATTCTACCATTAAAAGTACCATCAATCTAAAATGTAAAAATTTAACCAAACCTATAAACCTAGAAAAAAATACCATTGAAACACAGTCTCTACCATTTTTATATTTCCCGTTCTTTAATGTTGTCTACCAGTCTACCCAAAGAATGGAGCAAACCAAAGCGACACGTTTAAGTGCAAAAGTCGGCTGATGGATTGATGTGGCTTCACGTGTGTCAGCACCACCGAAACCACAAGATACGAAATAAAAAGGCACCACACACTCGGCCACAGATACAGATACATTTTTGCAGATACGAGGGCAAAGAGAACTGCAAGTTGGTGTGTTCTGTTGGTTCTGTAGGTGAGTCACCACCCAGTTTGAAACTAGTCATTCCCTGGACTGTTCCTGCCCCTCAACCACCCACTCCACCCCTCTAAGCGTCACCCTCTTTGAATGAGCACGAAATTGCTAAAACCACATTGAAAACAACGAGAAATACAGAGAAAAAAATGTTTTTTGTGCAATTCATTTTTATTATTATAAAAAGGCATAAAGATGCAATAAGTTCTAACAATATATCACCAGTTTATGTGGAATTAAAACTAGACTTGCAAAAATATATTCATCTAAAATGCAGAGCCTTTTTCCCAGTGCACATGGAAAAGAAGAAAACGAAAGAAAGAGCATAAATGCAAGGAAATTGGGGAGGAGTAGGGGGTTTTTAAGCCAGGAGAAGGGGGCGTCCCTGAAAAATATCGATTTCGCTTGGCTTATGTCTGCTTCCTCTTCCCAATTTCTCAGTTTCTCAGTTTGTTGGTTTTTGTTTTGCTTGTCGCCTGCTAAGAAGGCATTCACCTCATTTCCTCCGGTGGTCAGAAAAGTGCAGAAAAAAGTTCGGGAGGTAGGGAAATGCAGAGTGACCAGAGGATCGTTGCATAATGCTCGCCTTTGTAGGAGTGTGCGTGCGAAGAAGGCTTATCTTCTCTTCCCTTTTGGTGATCAGGAAGAGCTACCAGTGAATGAACGGAATGGATTCTTCTGTGTTTTCTTCTACAACTACTGTCTTATACCCTTACAAAATTGGTACTTATTTTGTACTTCCAAAAATATACAATTGGTATGTAAAAATACATTATAAAATTATTACAAATGTTCGGCTAACAAAATAATTAACAACAAATCCATTTTTTAAACCAATTTGGTTTATAGCTTAAAGAGTGTGTTAAACATCGGCTTCAATGCTTCCTCTCTTCCGCTTAACTTTCATTTCTTGCATGGACCAATAAATATATTATTTCTTTGCTAATTTATGATCGCATCTGGTTGTGCCAATTGATCTCTGGGTTGAGGTCCCAAGATCACATTACATGCGAATTTAATTTCTCATTTATTTTTGTTGACTATATGTTTGAGAAGCAATTTGCGAGCAAACAAAAACTGCCAAAAATTGGTAATAAATTGTTTGCCTTTCAGCTTCGTAAGTTCTTTTCGAGTGGTGGTTTTTGGTAGGTTCCCTTGCTTATCTCCAGAGTGTTTCTTTAATGAGTTTCGACGTTGTTTTCTTTTTTCATCACAATTGGCACACTGTAAATTAATGTCACCGAAATGGCAGGCAAACCAATTTTCAAGAGGGGAGGAAAACCGCAAAAAGAGGGAAAAACAAGCGACAAGACCGGGCCAAAACCGCTTGTTGAACCACTGACAGATTTCCCTACCTTCCCGATCGCCCCGCGCGTCAATTCGTCAATTGTCAACATTTGTCAGTCTTAATAAGTTTTGCAAATGTTTAGCAAAATCTCCATTTATGCTCATGTTTCTGTGGGGTCTGCGAATGGGAATGGGAAATGGAGGTTAAGTGGAGGTTTACTGCTTCGGTTTCGGTTTGGGTTGGGCTCTTGGACCCATGGGGAGATTTATGCTCGCCTTGGGTAACTTGGGAAAATTATGGAAGCCGGCCTGGAGTAAGGAAAACATGTTGATGAAGTTAAAAGGTTGGAAACATTGCAGTTATAAAATGTGTTCATTAGCTAACCCATGGTAATCTAAATAGTACAGTTCAATTACATTGTTGTGTATTTAAGTGAAATGTAACACTGATAAGAAAAATGCAACAGCTAAGAAAAGAAATAATATTTTAAAAATACTTTTTAAGTATAGACTTACAAATTATTTCCAAAATCTGTTTATTTTGTATAAAAGCATTTTTGCTATAGCCTTATCGCTTTTAAAAATAACATTTTTCACTTCCTCATAATTTAAACCTATTCAGTAACAGCAAAGTGAATTGAATTAAAAGATTTAAGTTCGAGGGAACCAGTTTATTCTACAATCTGTAATGAGTTTAAATGCCCTTTTTAGCTCTCCCACTCAACCGATCTTCTAGTTACCTTCTCCCCTCTATTACAGCCCGACAGCAATTTTCAATTTACTTTTCAACTAAATCGAACCAGACAAGCACTGAAAGCTGGTCATTATCTCGGCTTAGCACTATCCAAAGCAAAGTGGCAGCGCTCTTGACCAAAACAGAAACCACATCCCCGAAACAAGATGGACTGCCTCATTTGCTGGATTTATGGACTGCGAACGGACCGAAGACTCATTGTCCTGCCTTGGGGGCTCCTCGAGCGCCATGAAATATGAATGTGGAACCGAGGGACAGGTGACCAAGGCTGCTCGGATGGATACCCCTTCGTAGAGCAACATTCGCACGTCTGTGCAATTTGCGGCATGCAGCTAACTTTCACATGGCGAGGCAGGCAAATTAACAGGCCCCCAAAATAAAAGTATAAATAAATTTACTGCAAAATGTGCCCCAAAAACACCCACCGACTGCGGGGCTCCAAGGAAAATTAAGTCTCCTGCGAAAATTCAAATGAAAGTGAAGTGAAGAATTGATGGACACCGTGTTACCTTTCCCGTGTGTGTGGTTGTGTGGGTGTGTGGGCGGGGCCATTTCAATCCACACACACATGACAAATGCCTTGGAAGGCTCGAGCCCGAACTCAAGACCCCCTGAAAAAGAGCTGGCCAATTTAATTTATGAGCCTAGCGATCTCAAAGCGATGACTATCGCCCGACGAAGCGTAACGCCCTCCCGGCATCCGACGATCCTAAGCCGTAAACGGTAAACAGGGACAGACTAATGCGATAAGTTGGAGATGGGAGTGCGGTGGGATTTTTCTATAGTTAGTACAAATTTATTATCACAAATATACCATGAAGAACACATTAGTGATCCTAAATAATCAATTCTACTATCGATTTTATAGATGGCTTAAATAGCTCGATTACTATCGACTGTGATCTGGTCAATGACTGTTTTTCATAAAAACATTTTATAATTTTAGATATTATATCTT